ACCACAGATGACATCTTGGTGGCCTCAGCTGAATGCCCCAGCGATGATGAGGACATTGATCCCTGTGAGACGAGCTCAGGTGGGTTAGGTTAGTCAACTTTTTTATTACTTCCTTTTTATTTGTATTCTTTGCATGTAGCAGTGATGAAAGAACCTTTTATTTCAGCCTGTATTCGTGATGAAGCAAAATTCATTCTCTTGGGTCCCAGATAGGAATTGCCAATATAATTCTCTGAGTGTATATGTATCTGTTATGTATGAGAGAAAGAAAGAGAGATAAAGACTCCTACTAAAGGCTGCTTAGTTGGCTATTTAGGTTTCTTCCATTATTATTATACTGTCTTCAAAAACAACTAATTAATTATATGACAGTGAGCTATTTTAAGCAATATTTTTATTAAAGATCCTGTAGAAGAGATATTTAAAAAGCAGAGATTTTAGGATTTAAGATTTGAGCCCTCTGAAAGGAAAAAATACATCTATGATTGACAAGACTTGCTGATTCCCTGGAACTGTATATATTTCTGCTGAGCAGAAGGCATTTTGCCATGGAAGATTTCATAGATGGGAAACTGAAAGTATATTAGATTTGCAACCACACTATGAAATCTCTATAAGGAAAGTATTATTTGTTTATGAACATTGAGAGATCTCTATATATGTAGGTAGATAATGGAGCATACCTTGTAATCTGGTAAACAGTTCAGCCAATATTCAAATTACAGCTGACGATCTCTGCTTCTTTTAGGAGGAGGGTAAGGGGAGGTTGAAATGCATCTCTGACAAGATTGATAATCACAAACACCCATTCATGCAGTATGCATGAATGAGTGACTGAGGACAACTTCTAAGATATACAGTTGCTTCCATTGTTAAGATTTTATCGTGCAGCTTCTTTTTAAAAGGACAGTTCTGTTATCTGCAACAAGACAAGAAAGGGGTTTGCTTTGTGCAGCAAATTTGAATTGATTTTTTTTTTCCCTGTGGAGAGATGTTTTTCTGTGGACATCCCTGTGGAGATAAGATTGGCCCCCATTTTGACACAATTTTGGAAAGACCTGAAGGTTCTGCCAATGGGAACCCAGAGTGATACAGAGACCCCAAAGTGGACACCAGAGTGATACAGAGCCCATAAAGCGGCTGAACTGATTCTTGTCAGCAAAGAGTGGAGGTTTATTGGTTTTCTTACAGGGGTTTTATCTTTGTGAACCACCTAGAGTAGCCATGAATGAATTGGGCAGCCATATAAATATTCTAAATAAATATTTTCTTTTTTCTCCATAATGACAATGGCTATACAAATTTTAAAGTTCCAGGATCTTTAGTATGCTACACCTGGTGACACCTAAATCTGCCTTTTAGTCAGGATGTAGATCTCTTAGGCAGTTCCCCAGAGCTTCAGATGAAGGATTTTTCCATCATCTAATTGGTCCTCTAGCAATTCATGGGTTGAATCTGAGACCATTCATTGACTGAACTGATTGCTTCCCCACATTCTTCATTAGATTTATTTTATAAAGACCAAGAAATATATTACAACTTACTTAAAAGAATTAGAGTGCTGTTACCTTCCCATCGAAGTGGCATCTATTTATCTACTCACATTTGCATGCTTTTGAACTGCTAGGTTGGCAGGAACTGAGGTGAGGACAGGAACTCACCCCATCACGTGACACTCAGGTCTCGAATCTGGCTGCTGGCTTTCCAGCCAATAAGCCCAGTGATTTTTAATCACTGAGCCACCATGCTGCCCTATTGGAGGACAATAGAAAGTCAATTTTGACTCCTTTTGATATAGATGCAACAGTGCAAATTTTTGGAAGATTATGGAAGTGTTTTGTCCCTACCTTCTTCCAAGATGGTTTTAATTTTCTGATCTACTTTATTGTTGATATGTAATGTTTGAGCAATTAAGCCAACTCTGAAATCATTATTTCCTACATTTTGTTCTAGGAAACACAGATATTTATAAATATTTGTACATTAATAAATTTCCTGCTAGGATTGTTTTTTATGATTCATGAGGCCTTTTCAAGTTCTAGGAATCAAAAGTACAAACACATCTAATTTATAATACTTTAGTAGATTCCATGTATTGAAACAGCAAGAGTATATTTATTAGTTATATTCATATAAGCAAATAACTACCACGATCCATATTTCACATTTATTTATAAAGAGTTATCAGGGCCAGAAAGCACCTCAGTTGTATGAGGTGTATTTGTATTTTGTTTTTTATCTGATGTTTCAAAGGACATAGAATCAAATGCAGGTTTACAATTTGTATTTCTGGAAGTAAAAGCTACATTTACTGTATTAACACATTCACAACTTCATGCACATTTTTGTAACTCATAATCTGACTTGCCAGATTAGGTTGAGTTCTAGGAAAAACTAGGTTAGATGCTTGTTCAGTGTATTGGCTCCCAAGTACCACCATTCCTGTACAGTTTTATGCCTTCAAAGTTGGGCCAGTCATACCTTGGCATTTTAGCCACACCCTTTTCCTACTGAATGCAATTGCCTTTATTCTGTTATTTTAGGGACAACTATTCTGCCTCCATAGCTTGCTTTATGTGGACCTCATGTACTTAGAATTTTATATATGTCCATTCACACAAACACAGGGTACTAAGCTGCACATTATCACACTATAATAGCATTATGTAATGATTGACATAGTATTAATATACTACTATATGATTTATTAGTAAGGTGACCAACTTTTTTACAATGAGGAGGACACAAATAAATTGAAGAAAAAAATATCATAAATAAAACATTTTATTCATTGCAACAATACAGAATACACTATAATATGATAAATGCATAATAAAAAACATTTATAACAATAACATTTTATATTGTAATTATGCTTATATGCCTATTAATTATTATTTAAATGAGTACAAAAGAAGGACTGTCCTCCCTAAAGGAGGACGATTGGTCACCTTATTAGTTAATGTAGCTACACGTGGTTTATAGAGTCCTAAAAATAGATGTTAAGAATTGTGAAATCTCAGTCTTCTACAAGTTAAGATCCGCTTATCCTTCTGTGTTGGACTAATTCATTTACCTATTTTGGAACAGCACTTGGTTTGTGAGTTAAAGGTTATGAACTCTATTAGCTGCAATGGTTTCCTCCAAAGGTTTAAACAACATCCGAAATCATTATTTCCTTCTGTATTAGAATAACTTTCTTCATCCCTCCTTTCCTCCCTCCCTCTATCTTTTTCCATCTCTTCGCACGTAACTGACTCTCCTTGTTGTCTGCTGAGAAAGTGTCTCCTGAGAGGAGGCAAAATTTCTAGTGTTGTTGTGCATTGCTTTGAAAAGATATTTCAGCTCTGATATTTTGCCTCCGTGAGGGCGTTTGAATACTAAAAGATTATACATAATACAATCCTGCTCATGTGCCTTTCATTATAAAAAAAAGCTGGCTGGCATATACAGTAGATATATTTAGAGGACACAAAATCATGTACCTTTCCTGTACAGTCATGGATATAGAATTGGTGATAAAGAAATCACTGCACATTCATAGTGAGTGAGTGAGAGAGGAAAGAGAGGGAGAGGGAGGGAGAGAGGGAGCGAGAGAGAGAGAGGGAGAGATTTTACACTTATAGGCACGCAGCTTTAGAGCAGTAGCTGGGGTAAGAGTGGGGGACACGTCTCTTCCTCTTTTTGTTGTCATCACAAGCAGTGTTCATTTTGGTAAGTTGTTATAGATGCAGAGATAATAATGGCACATCAGATGTGAATGCTTATGGATAAGTGTTTTTGATGTATAGTAAAAACTTAAGTTGACATAAATGTCCGCATCTATATTTCTGTAGTTGCTGATTTACAGTTTGATATAGATTGTGCTGATTTATTAATTTTTGATTTATTTAGAAAGGCATAATATCATTCCCTGGGAGAAATAGCCTATCAGGATTGTCACTGCCAGCAAGTCCCTCTATTATCATCTCTGATTTTGCTTGCTGTGCACCTGTGTTTCAGTAAATAATGAATACAAAGATGTGACTTGCAAAAAATATAGGAAATGAAAAGGTAATGGAGTCAGCAGCCTGCTAATCAAACAGTGCATGAAACATTGAATAAAAATAAAACCAAAATAAAAGTGACCAAACCACATAAAATACAGTTTACAATGGAATACACAAAGATATCATACAAACAGTATTTATGGAGAGAAAAATCCAATCATATGTCTTGCCCATTCTTTGCTCTTACATTATACAACCTTTCCATTCCTGTCTACAAATCTGTAGTGCCTGCTTCTTGAGCACATCTCCTCAAGTATGGATTTGAATATTCCATTATTTGAGGATGGAAAATAGTTAAGATAAATCAGTAGACTAGAAATAATTTATCTTATCTACAACCAAAGTCATCCCATGGAGATAATTCTCAGTTCCTCTTCCTGATGCTGATATGATTGAGACACTGCTGTCATTTTTATATCATTGTAGTCTTTTCCATTACAGATTTATTTCTTACATGTTCAGTTTTCATATTTGATAGGCATAATAGAACCAGACTGATATGTGTACATTTTGCTTCCTTCATGAATTGAATTCATTATGCATTCAACAGTGACCTTTTAATCCCAGCTGAATATTTATAAAGATAACTATTAGAAGATTCTTGGTGGCACAGTGTTTAGAATGCAGCATTACAGGTTGACTCTGCCCATAGCCAGGGATTCAATCCCGATGGGGCTCAAGGTTGACTCAGTCTTCCATCCTTCTGAGGTCAGTAAAATGAGGATCCACATTGTTGAGTGCAGTATGCTGATATTGTAAACTACTCATAAAGTGTTGTAAAGCAGTATGGAGCACTATATAAGTCTAAGTGCTATTGCTATTGCTAATACCAAATTATTCATGTATAGATATTCAATCTGATATTGACAGGTGGAATTCTCAAAGATATTCCAAATATATACCAGCTTCTTCCACATAGATAGCATAAAACCTGCATATAATAAAATATATTTTAGATCAGATTATTAATCTGTCTAGTCAAGATTGTTTAAGCAACAGTAGCAAGAAATTATTTCCAATTTCTAGAATCAGAGAATTG